TTGTCCTGAATAATTGGAGCTCTGAAGGCTTTTAGGATGAAGCTACAAAGTGGGAAAGCATCGGAAAAGTATTCTTTTTATCTTCTACTAGATCTCTAACTCTCTTGTTGACTGCATATTGTCTGTCAGTTTGCTGTCTTTTAAAGACCAGTGCACTGATACCTAATTTGCTTCAAACTGATTTTATTTATTTTTTTTTTAAGCAGAGGCAAGTTTTCCCTGTCTTGCTGTACATACTGCTGTCCTTGGGGGAACCGCGTTCGTGTCTCTGCAAAGGAGGGGAGGAGAGTGGCCTTCAGAAGTTTTTTTTTTTTAAGGGATCTGGTGCATAATAGTATCCAACTGCTCCTCCCTTAACGGGCCTTTCAAAGACTGTCTGTACCACAAACCAGAAACTGAGTTTTGGGGGTCTTGTGCAGCACTCAGCCCCACCAGGGACCAATGCTGCTTACAGATGCTACTACATCACCAAAACCCCACAGTTCGTTATGTCAAACCTTCATTCCCTTTGATTTTTGAGAAGGGCGATGATGGGAGTGAAAAGGATTTTTGTTTCTCTGCCTTCCTCCAGGAGCCTAATTTTGTTTTTCCCAGCAATCTTTCCTCTTTATCCTGAAATTCATAGTTACAAATTGGTCGATGGTGTTTCATCATATGGCAGTAACCAGGGGTGGGAATCAGATGCATCAAACTTATTTTGGGAGACCAAATCCAAAAACCTGTAAATCAGGTTATGAAGTTTTCCCTTCAAAAATCCTAAAGGTGGTGGATGGTGATTAAGAAGTCTGATTCCTGACACAGCTCTGCAGTTTGTGTGCAATATCTTGGGGACTGGGGGTGGAAGGAGAGAGGGAGGGGATGGAGGGAAGGAGAGAGGAAGCCCTTGAAAGCATATGGGGGTGAAATAAAAAGGGGTTGTCTGACAGTGACGGACTAGGAACTGAAACCTCTTAGTTCTGAGAACAGACCTGCTCCGTGATGCAGAGCATGGGTAGGACTATGCAGAAGAGAAGGGAAAGCGGGGTTTGATTTTATTTAATTTATTTATTTATTTATTTATTTCACAGCGTAGGTGTAGCGCTCACGGAACTGTATGGTTTTTTGGAAGTGCTCCATAAGCTCTGCCTGCCAGGGGAAGGGGCAGAGGAGGGCAGCCAGGCAGCAGTGCTGGGTGCTGCTACCTGATATTTCAGCGGCAAGCAGTTTGGATGGTTTTGTGGGTGCTGTCAGCCTCTGAAAGGGTCCTTCCTGTGCCCTAAGAAATAAATGGGTACTTAAACCGCAGCCTGTGAAAAGCTGGCTGACAGCAAGCTGCAGGTATTCTTATTGCCAAATTAAGAGAGAGCTAAAAATACACGAGTGCGTAACTGAAAAGTATAACTGCATTGGAGATCTTATGGGAACATTAAAGGGAAGAGAGATGGTCTGTAGGGTGATCTGCATTAAGGTGGCTCACTCATACTATACAGAAAAAAAGTAATCGCGTGTTCTGTTTTCCAAATTAAGTGATTTAATCCAGGGCATGTGAAGAAAAGGGTATGAGCAAAGCATTTGGAGGTACGTAAAACACTTACTGGAGTGCTGTTCTGTGCTTTGTTTTGTTTAGATCCAGTCTACACTTCAAAAAAAGAGTAACTTTTTTTATAATGAAGTAGTAGTTTGGGATTTTTTTTTTTTTTTTAACTTTCATTAAAATAGAAGCAGCTTCATCTCAAGTAAAGTGTAGAAAGATCAGATCTATCTGAGGAGAAAAGCATTCCTTCCCTCCAAAAGCTGCTGCAGATTGAATCCCTAATCTGAAGATGCTGCCAGTGGGATGTCAGCAGCACCTTCTCTTTCAGCCTCAGGAAAATAGACATGCAGAGCTGCTAACACTGCTTCCATAAGGTGCCTGCCCCTTTTCACTCGTCTCTGCAAGGAGGGTTTGGGCTAACCAGCATGGATGACAGTGCTCTGTCTGCTGTCCTCATGGTAGCAAATGTCTTAAAAACTGTCCAGGGGTATGTGCAAGATTGTGCATGCTGTGGTTTTATTTGTAATGCAATAACCTCGTCTTTGCAGCGTACACCTCGGGAATTACCAGGCTTGATTATTGCAATTTGCTCAGATATTCACTTGTTTAGCCGTGTTTCTGTGGCACCTCGTTCCCTTCAGATGGCGCAGGACAGTAGATCAGCCTGGATCAGGCTGTCAGCCTCTGCTCTCTAACCCGCTTCCTTATCAGGCGAGAAAATTTTTACATTAAGATTTTTTTTTTTTTTTTCTTTAAAGCCTTTAACTGTGTTAGCTTCTGGTTTATCCTGGTTTCCCTCGAGCTAAAGATTAAAGTCCTAGAACAGCCCTTCATGCTTCTGAACTTTTTTACTGAGTTTGAAGAAGTTGATGCAAACTGCGGCTGTTTTTATGCATTTGTCCTCTACGTGGCCAAAGAGAGGGGCTGGGGATAAGCACGTTGTTGGCACTTACTGGGTATTTATACTCTACCGTAATATGTGACTTTACAGACTAAAAGGCTTTTCGACCAAGTGAAGGTATTAGAGATCCAGCAGGACTTCCCTTTACAGTCTGGTAGATGTTCTTACCAAAAATCTCTCTCATTTTCACTGCTTTTAGTCATTTATTCATAGCCATGTTATTTTGCTCCTTTGTGTATGTACCCTGGATCCAGGGGAGTCAGTTGGCAATTGAAAATGCTGTAAAGGCTCAGCCTTCATCATGTGGTGCTTGCTCGGGATGAGAGATGCGCGTTCGTTCCCAGATCTGCCGTAGACTTACTGTGGAGCCCTGAGCAGGTCGCTGGATCTCATCCTTCCCCTTGTGAACGAGAAACAGATCTTACGAGTCTCTACATGGTGTAGGAGCTATGAGAGTAGCATTGATTGGGGAGCAATGGGAAGGCAGCAATGCCATTTTTTATACTTATTGATGGAAAAATACAGACCTTATACTGTTGTTATGAGCTTTAGATGTCGTGCAGCAGTACTGCCGTGGTACTTTGGGGTGCTGACTAGGAGAACTGTCTGCATATCACCGGACAGCTAATTTAACAGATAAATATATCGCTCCAAAATGTGCAATAGAGTGCATTGCAAAGAGGGGAGCCAGGCTGTTGTGCTCATATGTTACAGTAAGAATTACTATTTCGAATTCAGTGATCAGCTTCGCAGGTGAAACTTGGGTGTTCAGCTTGGTAGCCCTGGAAAGTCACTTAACCAGCCCTACGGTCACTGAAGTCCACATAAGTTAGGTGTGTCCACATACACAGAGGCGTACAGATCCCTGGGACACCTCAGCTGGCATAACGTTTAGCCTCTTGTCTTCATAGCGCTAATATCCAGACAGGCACGCCGTACCATTGCTTAAAGGGTTATATTCATTTTCATGTTTTCCTTATGAGAGCTTTTAAAAAACCCAACCAAACCAAACAAAAACCCAGACCCCAACTTGTTCATGTTCTAGCTCCCTGAGCCTGCCTGCCTGTAGGGGTGTATTACGGTGCCAGCCGAGATCATCTGATAGGAGCTGGGACTGCAAAGCTTTCTTAACAGTAGGTAGCAGAGCATTCTTGATGAGGGGCTCTTGAATTCGCTTTTCTTTGTTACAAGACTCTATTTGACCTTTCCCAGTCTCTACATAATAACAGGGTGCCATACCCTGAATTTTGGTGTAGGATTTGCTTGTTGGCAAAGGCATTCGTTCCCCAGTCTTGGCAAATTCCCTTTGTAATATTCAGATGCGCTCTAATGAGTAGCAATTTTTTTAAGTTACATCTCTCATTGGCTTTGAAACGGTGCGATAACCTAATAATCGAATGGCATGTCAGTTCTCTCTTTCTCTCTGGTGCCTGTTTGATGTCCAACAAAGCATCCGCGGGGCTATGATTTTTGCTTATGCCAAGAAATGACTTTCAGAGAATTGGTCTGAGTGTAATGGGATGACACTTCATGTGATTAACCAAGAGAGCAGTCCGTAAGCACTTTGGGGCAGTGACCTTCTCTCCCCATTTGCTGTAAAACTGAGGGCAATCGATTTTTGTATGGATCTCTGGAAGTTGGCTGCGGTGCTCTGCGTACCATCGCTCAGCTGCGTTCCACTTTTACCAGTTCACTCCTTTAAACAGTGGTTCAGACATTTGTGTTGTTATTTAAATGCTCTTTGCTACTACATCAAAAGGCATATACTTAATGGACACTACCATACTCCTTGTCCCAAACTAGCTGTTGGCTAAAATTGGGATTGGAAAGTGGGGCAGAGTTTTTTATGGGTTTGTTGGGTTTTGGTTTTTTTTTTTCCTTTGACAAACTAGCAACTCTCTGACCTTGTGCAGATTATTTAAAATCAGATTTTTCAGAAGGTCCTTACACTGCAGGTTGTAACTAGAGATGCCGGTACTGAAGTCTCTGGAAATCTGATTGCTTCATTCATGTGTCTAAGAAGAACTGAAATCTTAAAAACCAAAACACCCCCCCGGCAGCACCGAAATGCCTATGTCAAACCTCCCTGAAACTCTGGCCCTCTGCCTAGAGGCAGCTTCAGTCCTTTCTTCTTTAGGATCTGGAGTGCTTTTATATTTTATAAAGAGGTTGAAATATGTAGATGTAGCAATGTTTGCCATCATAGATATGCTCTTTATTTAAAATTTTGGTTGCTAAATACTGGATACTTTGGGCAAAAGTGGATGACTTTTCAATTGAACTGTTTTAATTTTTCATTTTATTTTTTTAACCCTATTTCTTTTCAGCAAAGGGACCAGATAAATGTGGTGTTAAAGAGACGTTGTGGAACTTAGAGCAGTGGAAGTTTCTGCTCTCAAGTTTATCTTCACGTTGTTTTCAGCTTGCTGTGGACTATCTAGGTTATTTCATCCTATCTACAGGATTGCCTTTTTAAATGAACTGGGTGTGGGGGGAGCGGCGAGGTGGAGGAAGAAAAGGGTGAGACTCGCACATGAGAGAATATCTGTTTTCACTCTTGTCTTGTCTTCTTGTATTTCAGGTATACAAATGCTCTCAGTCCAGCCAGACACCAAGCCGAAAGGTTGTGCTGGCTGCAACCGTAAGATTAAAGACCGGTATCTTCTAAAGGCCCTGGACAAATATTGGCATGAAGACTGCCTGAAGTGTGCCTGCTGTGACTGTCGCCTGGGGGAGGTGGGCTCTACCTTGTACACCAAAGCCAACCTTATCCTTTGTCGCAGAGACTATCTGAGGTAGGCCACGTCCTTCTTACGTTCGCTGACAAACTTGGTAAATCTGTTCACTCCTTCCTACGTAGCCACTATTCTGTAAGCGGTACTTGAGGGCTGCAAGGCTGAGTCTATGTGGAGGATGAGAAAACAATACTGAAATATGGAGATGAAACTAAAACCTGAATCAAAACCCACACGTAACCAGGTCATGCAGGTGGTTGCCAGTTTTCTGATGCTAATACTGGGGTCCTGTGCTCAGAGGAGGAAGAGAGTGAAACACACACACACACATGGTGCTTCCCAGAGCACCGCGCTCCCGGGGAGCTGGTGGCCTCCTCCTCCTCCCAGCAGCAGGGTGGTGGCCAGGCGTAATGGCCCGAAACCGTGCACGTGGTTTCCACCAGCTCCAGTGCAGGGTTTGAACTCTGTAAGCAAGGAGTGCTTCACTCATCTTCGCTCACCTGCTTTTGTCCTCTTGGTTTGCCAAGGGATTTCATTGGTGGCACTGGAAGCTTTTATGAATGTTGCCATTTAACTGTTAGAAGCTGGGCCAAGGTGACCAGCTGTCTTCCCCATGCTAAATAACCATGTAGGTAGTAGGTTCAAATCTACTCAGGTCCTGATTTAACATGGTGACGTGGGTGTGATGCCAGGTAACCTGTAGCCACTTCTCAGAGATAGCAAATCCTCACCTGATTTTTCTATCTTACTGTTTGCATGCGGGCCTACGTTCTCAGAAGCGTTTGAGGTATAACTCATAGCAAAGTACTGATGAGCAGCACCAAGGTAATTTGTCTGCAGAATGTACGCGAATAAATAGAGCTACTTGGCAGGAGAAGTCGGGAAGTTTGGTCTCCCTAGGCTCTCAATAGTAAATAGAGAGAAAAGGCTCCTCTGGGGTGATTCGGAGCACCTATTTCCTATAGGAGCACCTTCCCTCCATTCCCTGTAGAGGGGGCCTAATGAGACTTAGCTGCTCCAGGCTAACCCGAACTTCTGGGAATATTTCCCCTGCCCCTGTAGTGAAGCCTCTTCCTTTTAAAGGGACATTCAAGTCAGTAATACATCGGGGAAAAATTAAAATTCTCTTTGAACGCGTTAACTTACAAGCTCAGTTTAAGCACAGGTACCAAATAGGAGGTGCCCACATGCTGATCAGTTCCCAAGTTGTACAGCATGGGTAGGTTGGGACAGGAATCAAGACTAAAGTGTTATTAACAACTGGTTACTCTGGCTCTCTACGTTACAACCTGATTTTTCTAGGGTGGAACAAAAACCTTCACAAATGCATTGTGCATTTATAGAGCTGGGGCTGCTAGGCAGATCAGGGTCCTTCAGGTGTAGGCTTGGACTACTTATTGGTAAAGGTGCTCTCCTACCCATTAAAAATCTGAACTTAACACAAGATGGAGTGCTGAGAATTTACCATAGCATCTGCATCTTAAGGCCATTGTGTTAAAGATGCCGAAAAAGCAGGTAACAAAACCTAACTTTTGAAAACTGGCAGAGAACTGTTTGAACGGAAGGGAATTGCTGTATGTGAACTCAGGTCACTTATGATCTTAAAGTGTGAGTCTATAGAGAGGGGTTGGAACAGCTTCTAGGGGGAAGGTAACATTTATCCTGATTTTTAAAACCCATTTTAAGAATCTTTCTACAACAAGTGCCTGCAGGAGTGAGAAAACTCTGCAATGGCTCTTTGATCTGAGTTCCAAATTTACTGGAGACTTTGAACTTACCGAGTCTCCCTAGTGCTAGTGCAGCAGATCCAATGTTTTAAAATCAAATGTTTAAAATCAAAACCAAAAGTGATCTAGTAATAGAGATAAGAGCAAAGCATTTCCCCAGCACAGATGCGCACACACACACACTGTTGCTCTCTGGTCTTTGAAGGTCTAACAGGAGTAAATATTTTGCTAACAGATTCTTAAAATTCATACTAAGTGATTCGGAGAAAGGAGACTATTTTTTAATCTGTCACGGCCACAATCAGAACTGGTGTTTCAGTTATTTGTTCATACACAACATTTTGCACCAGTGACAGCAGCATACATGAGAAATCCTATAACCAGTTTTAAGATATTTCTGATTTTTGTCTCTGGGTTTATCAAGTCTTAATGAAGCTATCTTGTCATGAGCCTTTTTTAGTGATTCTTGTGAGTGCATAGATTTAAACTTGGTATTTACACTAAACTTCATTCAAACCGATGCACTTAAGGTAATTGCAGATAGTCATTTGCCTCATTGCATCTTATCTACTTAGTTATGCAGTGAACCTATAAAAGTTATCTTTTTAATGCTAATGTAGAAACTAGTTAAATGTTCTCTAGCTTTGTAGTCAAATAAGCTTTCATATTTAGCAACCCACTTGATCTGAATTTAAAGAACAAATCACTTTGTACTAATGATCAGATTAGGGTTCGATTACAGTTTCAAACTATCCTCTTAATTTTTTTTGTTCTTTTTAACCATAAAGGGAGTCTTTGCTACATATAAAACTGTTCTAGCTTCCTATTAATTTATGTGGTGCCCTCTAGAGGATATGTGGCTTGCACGATCCTATAAAGAGTAAAATTGCTTATTAACTTGTCTCTCTGTGTTCATTATGTCTTTCAATAAGACAGCCATTCTACAGATGCTATAAGCAATAATGTAGCCAGTTTGGGTGCTTTAACACTCATGGTTAAATTTGCAAACTGTGTGATTGTGTCTTTGGCTATTTGCAAAGATACTTCCAGTATCTCTCATTTAGAGATGCCTGCCAAAAAACTAAACGCTCCCTCAGTCCTGATGCATGCTCTTGTTCCGCATTTGAGTCCTGAGGTACCCACTTTGGGGGGCTTTTTATAAATACGCTGTATCTCCAGAACTTTGAAACTTGCTTTGCTTTAGCACTCTCCTTTGGTAAAGTTAGTTGATTTTACTATATTAAAACCTTTTTGTCTGGGTTGGGGGGGGTGGGGTTGAGGGCATGGAGGAAATCTTTAATGAGGTAATGAGCTTGGAAGATGCTTTGGGTGTGAGAGGCTCTACCATGGAATCTAATTCATGTCAGTCACTCCAGTGGTTTTAGAGGTGCTGTACGACACCGAGGGTATTTGGGTGGCTGCAGAACGAATGAACTCTGTTTTGTTAACGAGGATGAGAACTGACTTGAGTAAAGAAAGAACTCAATGTTAGAAATAACACACTCGGTGAAAATGATATGCAGAGTGTAATTCCCCTGCAGGCTTCTGTCTCCTGCTCATACACTCTTGGGTTAGAAAGTGAAAACTTAATTTAAGGAACTTAGGTTTACGCCAATATTTCAAGTCCATTTATAGTAAGTGAAATATCCAATAAGGGGTTTTTTTCCCTTTTTTTTTTCCCCTCCAGAGCTGTATGGTGACATCATCAGCCCATCCTGCTCTGTCCTCTCTTCTGACTGGCAGCGGGTCCGTTTACAAGCACAATATTCCCTTTGAAATCTGTCATTACTGCCATTAATGACCAGTCGTTATGTTAACAGCCCAAGGGCTGTTAACATGTCAAACTGGTTGTTAACTGGAATGTTATTACTTATTTAAACCGCAGGTATGACTTGTATGAAACGCGCTTTGGTTCTCGCGTTCTAGGATGCTTCTGCTCAAAACAATAGGGAAACAGCAGAGCATTTGTCTTTGGGATGCCAAGGGATTTGCTTTTTGTTCCATCTGCTCATTTGATTTCTGTGTGTTTGTGAGGTCCTCCTACCCCTGGGCAGCCTCCTAATTTCAGGTGCAACTGCGCGCAGTCCTGTCTCTTAGCCTTGCAAATGGGCAGCCACGGGTATTTCCAGATGCACAGTAATGCCTGCCGCACATTTGAGATTAATATCTGGCCCCTAAAAGTGTAAAATGAAAGACCGACAATTACATGTAACTCAGTTGTATTAAATAATGAGCTTCCTCGGATGCAGCGAAAATATGAAAGTACAGCTGTGCTAAGCTAGTAGCAATGTAGGTCAATCACCCTTTTCACTTAGGTTTTTAACTACGCAAACCCTGCTGAGCGACCAATGACTACAAAGTGCTGTTTCATTCCTATTTAATTTTGGCAGCATTTTACTGAAGAGCAGGCATTCATGCAGCTAAATTATCTTCACCGTTTCTGGCTTTAACTCCAGCTCCATGACACTAAATGTTGGAGTGCATATCTCTTAGTAAACACAAAGAATATGGTTTCTGATTTATTTTTTTTTTCGAATCCATCTCTTAACATGGAAATTGAATTAGAACTTTTATTACTTTTTGCATAATTTCCCGAGCCAGCCAAACAGATCATAGGAAAAGGATTAACAAAACTAATATATTGGCGTGGGATTTCTGCCCTTAAACACATCTAGAACCTTATCGGGGATGGGGGGGATGGTGACAAAAAAGTCTACTCCCTCCTGCCCAACCTTGGTATTGATTTTGCTCATAAATGTACTACAGACTTTAAAGGTACCACTGAATAGCTATGAAGATGAGTAGATCGCTATTCCTGAAGAAGGGGGCGGATCATATTAGTTATTTTTCTTTCCCGCCTGCCAGTTCGAAGACCTGAGACAAGCCAAGCATTTAAAATGCATGCATGGGATGAGATTGTGTAAATAACGAGATGTGACTACAGGAAGTCAAGTGTTCCACCATAAGCCTGGTAAAACTGCTGCCTCCGTAAAATATTTACCTCATGAAAGGGTGCAGACTGAAAGGAGTAGAGTTTAGGAAGCAGCCATTTCCTGTACAACTGCTCGCACTCCAAAGGCAATTATTATTGAAAAAAATTATTAGGTAGGAGTGCTTAGAGAGACTTAAAATGTCTTGTGGCCTGGTACTGGCTAGCAGATCCTATTTCTCTCTCATGTCCTGGAAAGTGCACATTAAGTATTGCAAACGCCTAAGATATCAGCTGGCTTAAACGCATGTATAAACACTCTGTATTTTCACTGGTAGTGTGTTACAAGATGTTTTCAAAATGACACCTCGGTATGCTTCTTGCCCAGCTTGATGAAATAAGGG